TCACCATTTTGTAACCACCTGCTAAACTGGTTTCCATTTCCTTAAGCTTATCGCTGAGCTGCAGAGCATGAGTTATATCGTTCCCTTTCTCTATTCACAGTGCAAAATCGAACAAGTGATCTCTGTACTAATTTCTGCTTTTTTTTGTTGTGCGTGATGAACCTGTTAATTTCTCAGTGTCCTTACATTACGCGGCGCAACCAGACTCTTCTTTAGAATATGCGGAAATGCTGTTCTGCTTTGGCTCACAACGAGCCTGATGATCTTATTGAGAGGCCAAGAGCTTCACAGTCTCGACAGCCTGGTTGCACGTCCGTCTGTCCTCATATTGAAGCTGTCTCAAGAGTGTGACAGATTCTCAAGAAGTCACGTCATTGACTAAATGACCTCACGCGCACACAGTGACTCTATCTCGGGCTGCTTGTCCACTTACAGTAATCCGAAATAGCCATTAGGACCAGCTTTACGCGCCCTTTAATCCGCTGCTTATCCACTTGTCTGCGCCCATCTGCGCGCACGATTGTTGCACGTCGTGAATCACACTGGCTGAGATTTCGATTTTCAATTACCGAAAAATGAACAAGGAGATGGGGATGCCGTGGAGATTTTTCAAAATTTGAATTTCAATTTCAGAAGGAGCTTTCAAGAAGATCAAAGCCGAAAGTGTAACGTCAAGCGGTGTTTTCTCATCATCGCTGTCAGGAATCCCTTCGACACCAGCACGGTAATTACTTCTTATTATAGTAAATGGCATTCCATCAGGACGCAGACGGGGGAAAGGTTACCCGATCTCAAGGTAAGTGAAAAGGGTTACCTAACCCAGAAGCGATAAACATTTTCTTAGACTTCTCCAAGATCACCTGGGAGTTCTTGATTTCACATAGATGAGCAACCCTCTTTCTCCCTCCCCCCCCCAACCCCAATTTCATGATGAGAAGTTTATGGATTCAACTACCACGAACCCATGATATCTCTGTAAATACTATACTCAGAGGGTTTCATTCAATTAGCGTGATGAGGTATTTTAGAATAGCCGCGAGCGGTTGCGAAGCGGCTGATCCAACGAATGAAACACCTTTAAGATATTCTAGTGTGAAAAGTGGGAGGCCAGATAATCCCTTCCTACCCACGTCATGCTAGTATAGAATGCGTTTGTGAGCGTCATCGATATACCGACTCCATAGGTGGTTTGATCGCACATAAGAATATGGGGGTCATCATCATCAAATGGACACTCGCTCCTTAAAATTATTCGAAATAGCCTAACAATATCAAATAGTCCGACCGAGCAGAAAATTATTGACAGGCATCTTATGTTGAGTAAATTGGAGAGCCTAAGTTTGTTTATTGAAAATTCCAAACCTCTAACATTGAAAAATATTCAGGAGACGTCACCGTACTACTTTCACACAAGAACAGTTAGCTGAACTCGACTCTGCTTTCCAGGTAAAACAGCCTTCCCAGGATTTTTCCACCCCTCTACCAATTATTTACTGTAAAAGTGACTTTTTCAAGAAAAGCCATTATCCCGACATTTACGTCCGCGAGGAGTTGGCTCGAATCACAAAGTTGAACGAGGCTAGGATACAGGTTGGTGATGATTCTTCTTGCTAGCATTGATAGGTTCTAACCAGTCGAATCGATTGCAACGATTCCAAGACGTTTGTGTACGCATCGTCGCCTTTTGTGTAGGATCTTATAATCCAATTTGTTGTCACCTGCACCATATCAAGTTCTGGTACAGCGGCCAATCTTCGCAGGACCATCAATTATCGCCTTGAGTTGTTGGTAGTCGAGAGAAGGCAATTACGGATTAGGCAAGAGTTCATCGAGGGTCGCCATGTGCGCTAATTTTGTGTTGACCACGACTAATTGCCGGTGTCTGTGCGCTGTGCACCCGCATCTGGACACAGAAATTCACCCCAGGAACCTCAGCAGGGCAGCCTTGTGTTCCTCAGTATGAAATTCCGCGGTCCACAAGGGGGAGGGGCTGGGTAGCAGACAGGATATCAAGAAAAGTTATTAAATATTAGGTTGGAGGAGAGTTTAGAACGAGAATCTCGAGGGATCGGAACGACTTTGCCTAAAATTATACCAGACTTCCCCAGGAATGCCGCCGAACTAGGGGGAGCGACAGAGCAACAGTTTCTAGTACACAAGGCACTTGATAAGCCTAAAATTCCGTCATATTTCTCAAAAAAAAACACCCTCCTTAAGTCTTTTCAAAAAGAAACTGTAACCTAGGTAAGTTCATCCATCAATCCCTTCCAAAAATACATTCACACACCCACCTATTCGATACTCCTCCACCAGGGATCCAACACCATCCTCCTATTGGGGAAATCTCGATCGGTTGGCTTAGCTCGACCGGGAACCAAAGAAAGCTCGGAGGAATCACTTCATTCACTTCAACTATGTACCTTTCAGCTGGCCTCGTTGCTGCTCCCATAGGGGTTCACTTTAAAACCTAAAAAGTCAGTTAAAAAGCCCACCTAGTTACTACTAAATTTGCCCCTCCAGGCTGCCATTTTCACCCTGTAGCATCTTCCTGATGTGGTTCAAATATTTCAGTGTTAAGCAAGCAGTATTAAATTCGTACTTAGATATTAAATAAGCAGTGATTGGGAGACTGATCGATAAACCGGTCATTCTTAACCTTACCCTAGTATTTTGTCATTGGTTTACTCTATCGGTAGAAGCGCTTACCGCTGAAGCTGCAACTAATACTATGCCGACAAATAGCGACTTAAGTCGAGAGCACTGTAAAAAATAAAATGCGAATGTTCTCAAATCCGTTCCTACTCTTTTTCCGCTCAAAATCCACGAACCAGCCGGTTTCCCACGCTCATCCGCGTTTTCCCACGCTCTTTGTGAATCAAATCCGAGAAAATAATTCATGCAATAAACGAAATTGCATTTAATATATTGGGTTTCGTCGTCGTCGTTCCTTCAGAGGCCTCCGCCACTTTGTACGCTCATGCAATTTCGTCTCCTCGAGCCTCAGCCTCAGCCGTCCAGTCGGCTCGCTGCACAATCGCGCTCGAATTCGATTTATCCCTTGTGGACACAGCGATCGAGTTATCTGCTCCCCAAAGAGGGCTCGATTCGTTCTAACTAACCACTTAATCACTTCCTCGATGCAAAAGATGCTCATCTGGGCCTTTGATTGGGAACGTTTTAGGGTATAAATGGCTATCAGCCTATAAGGGCATCAGTTGTGTAGCGGGAAGCGTCGCTGCTTATCATACGCAAGGTACGAGGATTTCCGGGAAGAATGGTACAACTTTTGTGCTGACAGAGCCTTCTGTCTTTAGAGACAGGGTGAATGGTACCAAACTTGTCCAGGAGTGAGAACCCCGAGTTGTGACATCGGTTAGCTCTCGAAAGTCACTGATTAGATCGAATCGCGTTCCAAGTGCCATCACTCTTCTAAGTGAGAGTGGAATGTGTGGCGTATCCCAATGCGGGATGAATCAGGGTAATACTTTCTCCTTCATCGGTCTATAAGTGATCGTATTAGTGAGAAGAAAGTGAATAAGCGACTACTCCAAAACCCCTAAAAGTGTGTTCCGCCATATTTGGAATATAGAACTAGAGTTATCACTGTGAATCCTTTTCTAAGGCACAGAGTTGTTTCGTTCTCAGTATGTTTGACGTATGGAACATTATAGCACCGCCTTACTATAGCACTATCCCATCCCCTCAAGAAATTATCAAAAAATTAAAACTCTCAGTCAAGTCAGCCACAGCAGTAACGATTCTCGCGAACTGAGTAGCCTTTTTTCAGTTCTATGATAAGCTCGGTGCCAAAGATAGGCCAGGAACCAAAATTCGAGTATGAGCTAGATGTATTTCATCTCTTAGATCAAGAAGCTCAGCAACTAGCCAATACAGCATATCTACGATGAGCATCTATTGTAGCAGCCTGTTCAGCCACTGGTTTGCTTTTACTCTGAAAACATCCTAGTCCTTTTTTAGTCCGTTCTAATTTCTGAACTTGTCCTGTTACGCCACTTCTGTACTACTGAAGTACTGAACACGTTGATGTAGCACAAAAGTTATATGGGAGCCTGCGACTCGACTACTCTTTTGCTCCTTTCTTCATTTAAGGGACGAACCCCTTTGGTCGAAAATCCCTGCAATTCCATGAATTCACCACCGAACCTTTTGACGAAAAATTGGACCATATGCTTCCCCTTCGAATATTTCTATTTGAGCCTTATTTCCTCAATCAGCTTAATCATCATGTTCACACCAACAAACTCGAAAAAATGCAAAGCTTCTATCATATTTTTGGTGCTATCACAGGATAAGGGGCATCCTCCAGAATTAATGTAAGTCTAAAAGAAGGCAAGAACTCCTTGGAATGAAATAATCGGAATAATCTCCGGGGGAAATGGAAATTTTTGCGCAGTCTGGAGTCTCCCTTTCTTCGCCTAAGGCATGGTCTCACTTTTAACAAAAAGGAGATGTTTTACGGGCTTTGAAAGCATTGAAATCACAATGCCCCCTATCTTGCGATAGCATCTTTTTTACCAAGTATGTTATCACTGAATCTTTATGTCATCGAAGAATCACATAGGACCTTCGTTTCATTGGATTTTTTGTTGAATGATCCCCCAAGAAGCCAATTAGCTGATGACCATAATATGCCCATGATCATCAGCTGATGATAATCCAACGCATGTCACAAACCCCCTGGCACAGTATTCCCATGAAACTGTTAATTCAAGCTCGGCATTTCCAATAAAAGGAGCTCATTATGGTTTTGCCTGGGTAGCCAATAACTGTTGTAGCCAGCCAGCATTTCGCAACAATTCCCATCGGAGCATACGGTACTCGTATGACGTCATTACCGTATCCGATCGAAGTCGTTGGTTCATTAACGCATTGTGTGCATGTGTGTATGTGAGAATACGAGTGAATGTCAGCGGTGTGAGTAAAGCGGCACGTAGTTGTGTGTGTATGCGGGTGCGTGCGGATGTGCAGCCACGGCCACGACGCGGCCGTCGGTGGCATGCCGGCAGTTGGTTACCGTAATCCGGACGCCGTCGGTCCCTAATCAATCCCCCTTCTCATACGCCATACAATTGAATTATTGGCACCCGCCCTACGGCACCCTTCTATTCAGCACGGGCTTTGTACAGAACCAGTCAGACAACGTTGATGGAAAAGCAAATTGCTTTGGATAGGAACGCGAACATATCAGCTAGTGATAAAAGGCTTTGTCAAAATAGAAAGAAAGCGTGGTATTCCATAAATGGTGGGAATGGTGTAGTGGCAAGTTGCGCTGCTTAGCACACACGCGATTCGGGGATCGAATTCTGGGTCATAAGTCGTCCGGAGCCAATCAATCCTCCTTTCCTCCGGGGTCGATTAATTGGTACCACACTGTCTGAGAGATCGAAACACTGACTAGTATCATCGCTGGCGTATCCGCAATTTCCGTTGTTTGGACCGTATCGTATCAAAATATAACCAAGACTCAGAGCTGAAGCAGAACGCATGGCGCACCTCCAAAAGGGGTTGGTCGACACGGAATGCTTAATAATTGTATCCTCGTATCACATGAAAGAGTGTTCCTAATGCGGAGGTGAAAACCATAGGCTTCAACTTCCAAGAATCCCTGTAACTACTGTATCCTGCAACACCCCAACGTAAAGTCTAAGCCGGGTTATGGCACCACAAACCATGAATCAGTTGGATCCGTGTGACATCAATCTATCAAGCATCAATAAGGCCGCTGTCAGGGGGAGGCAAATCAAATTTGGTCGTCACGAGGCCGGACACCTACTGATTTCTCTCAATCTGAGCGCTCATGACGTTCTCCCCGAAGAAATTCAATAAGGGCTCTGAAACAATAGTGATGAGGTCATTAGCCGAACAGCGATATCGGTCTTTTAGTCTTTTGTTTTTTGAGACAAGGAGAATCAGTATGAAAATTCGGCGGTTGACTTCCGTGTACCAATTATGCGACCTAGAAGAACCGAGCCTTCCTCCCTTCCAAGGCCGACCATTTGGTGCAAACAACTAACTAGTAAAAGTGGGCTATCCCAGGAGTCTTCTGGATTCCGAAGGCATGGCAGGGAAGTCACCCCTTAACGCCTTCCTCATTCCATACATATGAGGATTGTGCGCGTGGCCTCTTGACAGAATCGGTCAGTTCACCGTCACAGAACTTGGAACCAACAAATTGAACGTTAAGGTGTGGGAGTTTCAAAAGATAGTTGAAATGAAAGTCCACCTCAAGTAGCTAAGCATCTGAACAACAGCAGAACCCTCTGTTACTTTTCCGCTTCAAACGGGAGCTAGTGGGAAGAGGATAGGACAGGACGATAAAATCTATCAGCAAAGGAGAAGTTTGCCCTCAATAGCGGTTCTGACAGAAAAACGCAGCAATCGAAAGGATATTTTGATGGCTTACCCCGTCTGAGTGTGCATGCTCAATATGAGGCAAAAATGACTTCTTGAATCGAAACCAGGACATTACCCTAAAATCCCATAGATAAGAGCGGTCCATAGATATTTTTTCAAAAATAAAATAAAAATAAAAATATTTTTTCAAAATCATTTTTTACCGGTAAATTAAACCGCTCTTATCTATGGAATTTTACTGATCGAATGGGCTCTTCAAGTTCTATCCAGAGATCAAATTCCGGCATTTCTAGAGAGATTCCGGCAGAAATTCCGTTAAAATCGCTATTTTTCTATATGAATTGTTTATTAAGTGGGCGGGGTTTAGAGTTGAGGGGCGGAGCTTCTTCTAAACTTCTTCTCCGATTTTTATTTATCCATCCATCAAGTTAGAGGGGTGACTGCATTCAATTTCAATTTCATTCCAATTCATTTTTCACCGGTAAATTAAACCGCTCTTATCTATGGGATTTTAGGATCAAAAACACTAGGCTTAAGAAAAAGAACCTTCCATCTAGACAGTAATGAAACAGACTTGCTGAAGAAAAATATATTTGCATTTTTAACAATGTCACGATAAACATATCACGATTTGCACAAATGACACTTGTTAGTATCATTTATATGCAATGCTATATGAAAGAGAAAATTGAGTGCAATAATTACTTGCTCAAAATTCGTATAACTTCGTATAATGTATGCTAGACGATTTTTAAAAAGCTAAAAGACTGACAAAAGAAAATATAATTAACGAAGCATTGTTTTGAAAGTTCTTTGCACCTATTCAACTAATTCTGCGATTATAGATGAGTTCCAAGTGCGAGGCGCACCCCCAGATTCAAGCTCACCTTTTGATGAAACTTCTACCGACATATGGCTTTCTCACAAGATCTTTCCTAACCATGACTGCTCCGAATCCCTTCCGAAACTCGTTTGAATATTAGCGAAAAATTACTTTCTGAACAACCTATATTTTGAGTAATCATATGTTTCTCCTCACAATAGCCCCTTTTTCAGGTATGGTTCCAAAATCGACGAGCCAAACATCGAAAACAGGAGAAACAGTTGAACAAAGTAAGTTCAGATATTCATCTATCAAAAACATTGGAGTAGAGCTTAAAACCGCGCATAGTATTATATTTTACCCATGCTGCCAGTTCAGGTAAAATTCACAAACTAGTTTTAATATTTATAATTTTTAGACGCTCAACCCACACCAAGCGATTTTTGCTGCAAATCCAGCAAGCAACATAATGCGACAGGGTATGTACCCGTCACCGCTCGGAAACCCCCGTGATAGCTTCTGGTGAGTAATCAGGTCCTCGTATTTCTTAAGAAAGTATGGATCCATGGTGAATTCCTCTCATACCAGCAACTCGCTGTGTGTTCTTCTCTAGCGGAATCTATCACTTGGTGTTTATTCATTTGTTTATCATAAACATTACAGTAGCGCTCAAAATTGCGGACAGATACTTCCTCCATGTTGCCACAATTACCTGCTATACTTACCTTTAAAAACTAAGATAAACTAGAATGCCGACAAGAAATAATACAATTAACGAGGCGCTTTTGAATTTTATTGCACCCTTTCAATTAATTCTACGACTGTAGGTGAGTAACAAGTGCGAGGCGCGTGTAGGTATAGTCGATTGATTGAACTATTGCTCACTAAATCGATGGGCAAACGTAAATATGATAAGATTCATAAACGGTACGGTAGAAGCTTCACTTGAACCTCTTGCTAAGCTTTCTTCACTGCTTGAAATCGAGAGAAAACCATCAGGAAACAAAAGAAAACTTACTTGATCTGAAGTGTTCTCTTCTCCAGGTATCCATCTTATCCACGACAAATGCCATATCCGACGGCTACACCGCCATACTCAACGAATTCATTTACGAATCCGATCACCAAGTGAGTTTCGCTGAAAGCAGAATAACTTTGAGAATACAGCTTTTGAATAAGGTTGCTGTAGAAAAAACTTCCATTAAAGCCTTTACTTGCAAATGCCTTGCAAGGAAATTCAGCTGGAAAGGGAATAGTTACCCTAAACTTAGAATGCCGTCAGAGATATGATACAATGCTGTCAGAGGAGAACCACCATGGAGTCGATTAATCGATATAGATAAAGTCATAGTAAAGGAGACTTCATTGCATTAAAGGACAGAATTCACGACGAAAAAGCAACCCATTTCAAATTGACCTAGAGGATGGTGAGTGGTACACGAAAGAAGGAAAGAACCATGAGAAACGGCCCAGAACCCGAGAAATGGGACCCCTTCCTTGCCCGTTGATTCGAGCATTGATGCGACTCTCATCGTTGTGCCCTCTTCAAGCACTACGCTCTCTCAGCTATCTAATCACTGCGCGGTTGAAACCTGCGGTGCAGTATTAATAGCTGTAGGCTGTGCTGCAACTGACGCAAGACTGAGCCATGCTGTAAGATCGCCGAGAGTCAATACCTTCGCTGTCCACTGCATGTTCAGCCCGCACCCTTCAAGCGGTCCGCCTGTAGCAACACTCGGCAATTTATCGCTTCGTCGACCATCGTTCTCGTGAAATCCTCCTTTAAATTGCGCCCTACCTGCCCGATGTGGGCCATACCAAATGAGTGAGATATGTTCGTGAGAATTCACTTGGTTTATGTGGAGCGATCTCTTTGGCATTGGAGCGCACAGGCCGCAACTGCCATATCCTAGCGCGACCAGAAAACTCGTCTGCGCACCATATTCCACTCCGCTTCTGTTGCCTTGACATCAGGTCAACACAAGCTATCCGCTCTTTTTTAGATCTTTGAGACTCACGAGATTTTTGAGACCCAACTTATCAGATCGATCAATTACTGAAGTCTAGTAATAGTTGAGTGATGCGGACGAGTTGTCCGGCCACAGCAGGATGGGGCAATTGCGGCCTGTGCGCTCTAATGCCAATGTGATCGCGCCATATGACCGCCTCCCCCCCCTCCATTCACTGGATTACAAAAACCTATTCCACCCTGCTTAAAATAGGCAATAGTGCGTTTAACTATTTAAAGGGTGTGCCCTGCCCAATGTTCCGCCTTTTCATACAACAAACCTCCGACATGTCTGATGTTCCGCTGTTTTTAATTTTATACACCCGGACAGGATTCATTTATTATGAAATGAGGGTTGTATAAAAAACTGATCAAGGCAGATGGCTGGAGGGCGGTACGGCTTTGGTGACGTCATTGAACATCACTGGTGGAGTAGACCGCTCAGGAGGCTGGGGTGCCGTTGGACCCACCTTCACACCAATGATATTCAGTGACGTCATCAAAACCGCAACGCCCTCCAGCCACGTGACCACTGCATTTGGAAAACCTCTACCGTATATTACCGATTATTACATTATTCAAACAGAAAAGTGGAATATTAGCTGCTAAGAGATTCAACAATTTTTCATTTCAGCTTCAGTCCGTCGATCACGCAATTCTCCTCAGACGAGGACTTTTACCAAAAATCGCTGGCGCTACGAATGTCATGCCAGCCGACCGCATCGGCGAACATTGCAAATCTGAACTATCCGCAGAGTTAATCACCGCCGGTCATGCACGCAGCGTGACGCGAAGCGGACGCGGCGCGATGCCACGCAGTGCATCCTTAGTCAATGAACGGTTTTCTTTATTCATTTTTCGAATTCGATTTCATTTTTCGACTGTACCAGTTGTATATCCGAGTCGTAATGTAGTTATTTATACTTCTGTCCGATGTCTGTGTAAAACATTCTATATAATGATTAACGTTCGATATGGAATGAGCTTGTTATTGATTTATCGATCTCAACTAAAAAGGCAGCGAGTCGATCGACAATTTTTCCGTAGGAAGCAGTCAGCACTATTGGTAACTTCAAAATTTACACGCTTTGCAATAAGGTTTGCGTTCTGGCTCACGCCCACTCTGTTATCATCGTCACAGAAATGATCTCTCTCTTCTACGTCTCAGTCCGAAGTGATGTGTGCAGAAACATGTTCGACATATTTCGACATAAATGATACATTGTACATGTAATATATGAGAATAAATTGATTGCAATATTAAGGTTCAAAAGTCGGATTTACATGAAAAATGTTTAGACAGCGGAGAGGAGAAGGATGCTGAGCGCCACTTCCTTCGGTCCAGATCAAAACCGTTTCATGTTATTCATGACGTGTTAAAGCGAGAGATTGCGATAGGATTCTGTTGTGCTCATAGTGGAAGTGAAGATGCTGAATAATGCCCTAGTAGCGAAAAAAGCAAAGAAATCCGTCAAAAACGCGCAAAATGGGACCACTTCCTCTGCCCGTTGACCTCCGATAATGGACGAGTTGGCACAGACGTTAAGAGAATTCGTCAGACTCGTTGGACATAGCTACCATCATACCACCAGAGATCATACCTTGATTGATAAAGCATTCCATGAGAAGGTTATTGGATACGCGCTCGAAGTGGCATACCTTATCAAAATGATAATCGAACAGCGATCTGCTGAGGGGCGGAGCACAGGCCGTGGCGGAGCTCAGAAAGGATTGGCAGCCCCAGGGCGCTGCAACGAGCGCACCTTTAGTCACGAAAAGGCCACATCTCGATTCCTTTGGGCTCTAGCTACTGCTTGAAGTGCTGCTCGTTCTTCCATGCTGCACAGAGACTTTATCGTAATCTCTCGCTTTAACTCGA